GATGCCCGGGAAAATCTCATTTTTTCTCGACGGTGTCCAAGGGTAAAGTTGGCTCGTCCACCATGGCACATTTCTCACGTTGTACTTGCATTACACTCATTTATGATTAACCTATCATATGTTTGCATTCCTATATCTGTTGCTACACACCACAATTGATTTTTTAACAGGGTTGAAGCACGTTTGGAATACTTTATGTGGCCTATCATGTTCATTCTTGCCTTTGGCCTCATTCTTCCTGTTTTAACCAATTTTTTCATTCTCCTCCTATAGGATGCCACCAAAACGAACTTCGAAAGGGAAAGAAAATGTTGGCTCTGCTTTCGGCACGTCCCGCAACCAAACACCCGAAGAGTTTGTCGAGATTGTCTCTCATGGAAGCTACTTCAGGAGTGGCCAGTTAAACTTTCGGGTTTCCCAGGTTATGAATTGCTAATGTTGGTACACAATTGTGGTTGGGAAAAAGTGGTGGAGGGACCACACCCAGTCTATAACAGCTTAGTTCGAGAATTCTACGCAAACTTCAACAGTGAGATAGACACGCCAGGGTCCGAACACCAACACCAAACATGGGTATAGGGCAAGTGGTTGATGTTTACACTAGAAATCATTTACGACTTCTATCAGCTTACTTGGGATAATATCACCCCAATTCCTATTGATTTTCCATGGCCTGAAGTTACGGAGGTTTTGCTAGGGCGCGCAGCCGCCTGGCCCCTACAGACAGAGGAATGGTATCAGATTGAGCTCACACCATCCTTAGCCATACTATGGCTCTTCATTTGCCATAACATTGAGCCAACCTCACATCGCTCTACGTTCCCAGATCTGAGAGCTGGTCTTCTTTATCACTTAGCTCGGGGCCAAAAGGTCGACGTTGCCTCCCTAATCTATGAACAAATCCATTCCTTGGGAATATTGGGCGATCGTCGAAATTCAGTGATATTCCCAAGCCTCATCAGTGGCATTTGCAAGCGCTCGGGAATTGTTATCATGCTAAGGGAACTTCCAGTCAAACCGAGCCCGTTCAACAAACGCAACACTTTGGAAGCTCGGGATAGAGCATGGGTAAAACATCGGGAGGCCCAAGAGAGGGCTCGTATGGGTCAATAACCAACTGACCATGGTGATGGGGCTGCAGATATGGATATACCTCAAGAGGTAGCACCACCACCACCACCTATTGGGGCAGACATACAGATACTGCGACAGATGTTTGCTACCATGACAGGTTGCAGTAGAGACATTCACAGCTTGCAGCAAGCATTTGGGGCGTTGCGCATTGACATGCAGCAAGTGTACTCCGACATGCAAATTACCCCCACTTTCGCTTCTGATTCCAATCGGGAGTCCCTCGCTTCCAGGCGGGCATTTGAGACTATGAATGGGCAGTTGAGCTTGTATGCAGGCAGGGTGGATGGTCTACATCTCCAAGCGGATGAGACATGCGATCGTTTGGACAGCCTTGAGACTGAGGTGAGGAGGCATTCGGATTTCCTTCAGAAGAATTCGGATTTGCTTCGGGGGCATACGACTTTACTTCAAGAACAATCTAGGATGCTGCGGCAGCTCCTTGCACTACTAGATCCACCACCAGATGATAGCATTGCGGGGCACAGTTTTCTTCCACCATCACCACCACCGCCTTATCTTTGATCAGGGAGTTGCCTCACCCCTTCTTGTGCTTTATTTTCTCATTGTCCTTCACATTTGAATTCTAACTTTCTCCTGTGCACATTGAGGGCAATGTTTGTATAAGTTAGGGGGTGGTCGAATTTGTATGACAATCTAAGGGCAATGTCTACAGTACTTTTTAGCTTTCATAGATACTACCTTATGATTTCTTACTTTTGTGTGCCTGTTGATCTCGCAACATTAAAAAAAATTCAGTTTTCATTTTTCTTAGTCGTACATTCTAATAGTAGTTTAGAATTTTGTGTGCTTTTGTGGGTTTAATGGCCTTGCCAACAATGATGAAAATATTAGAAGCAGTATAGCTATGAATTGTGAAAATTGTGCAAGTTAAATTGATCGATACTTGTCTATGTGGAAACTTGACTATTTTTTTGCGCACAATACTTGTGTTGGGCATGCTAAGCTAATGATGGGATATATGAATCATAGTAGAGTTGAACATGATAGGTAAACCCCGAAAACCTCTATTGCACTTATCAATAAACCATCATTTTAGAAGTTTGGAGATGATTTAGCTATTATAGGGGAACATTAAGATGAGTAGGGATTCCATGCGTGAAAAATTGTGTTGTGTGGATTGGATTAGGCCAATGAGACAAAAACGAGGTGAAAGTTTCAAGTTAGAGGTTAGTTTTAGAAACTTGGTGTCTAAAAGAAAAGGGGCGTTACACTACTCATCGAATAAATAAAGACATCTGTTCGAGCCTGTATACTCGAGTGATTAAGCTTGCAAGAGTTTAAAACTTGATGCCCTATGGTCATCTGACTTGGGAGTCATCGGCCTAAAACTCGCTACAAAGGTTATATAGAAAGCAAATGGAAGATGTTATAAAAAAAAATCATCCATTGAAGAATAATATACATATTTCTATGTATGAAATGCATTGATTAGCCCCAAACACCCGGTTGATAGAATTATATCTCTAGTATGAAATAAGTAACTTAGTCTATTCTTAACGGTTGAAACAATCAAAGAAATAGAAAAATCCCTGCTTGTTGAAGTGTGAACTTGTGACTGCGAGATCTATTTAAACAAGAGAGGGTAAGGACTTTAGTAAATCAAAAACTCTATTCTAGAACACACTTCGGGATCTTTGAGCGAAAAGAATAAGTTTGGGGGTGTGAATCTGCCGAGTGAAGAAAGGAAAAAATTGACTATTATAGGTCGGGATTTGCAACCATCATCAGTTTGGTATGTTTCACATAAGTATGCACACACCTACACATCAAGTTTTGCATATGATAAGTGGAGATTCATTTGATTTTGCACCATTGAAACTATTAATTTTGTTTATTACTGAATTCTAATCCTGATACATGACATGTTGTTAAACATGCTTTGTGTCGAGTTAAGTCACCATCTTATTTAAGGACAAACAATAGTTCAAGTTTGGAGGATTTGATAAGTGTGTTTTACACACTTATTTAGGTCACAAAACATGGAAAATTGTTGATGTATATGTTGAAATATGACCTAATTCGATATGATTTGTGTTTGTAGGATTACATTGATGGATGGAATGAAAAGTATTAGAAAATGAACGAAAAAGGACCAAAATGGAAGAATATGAAACTCAGAGGACCAAAATGCAATTATTCAAAAGATGACCCGAATGACAAATCAAGTATGAGATTGAGCTAAGTAACATATGGTGATATCATGGGATGTTAAAAGGAGAAGGAGAAGAAATCAAGGTCAAAAGGTGGATGAAACCAACTTGGGGACAAAAGTGAATCAAAGGAAAAACAAGTTCTACCATACAGTCGCATGGTAGAAAACTCATGCAGGCGCACAAGCATCTACAGGAGTTGAACAGTAAAAATTTTGGATAACCACGCAATCGCATGGGTTTATACCATGTAGTCGCATGGTTCATTCCGAGCGCGAAAATTCTGGTTTCTTTATTTGAATCAAACACTTATGACAATACATCTAGGACTTCTTTATAACCCTAATCTCCACCAGAAAAGGGGGCTACGCATTTTTAGAGAGAAAAACACCATGGAAGAGCAAGGAAGAGGGCAAGAACAAGGGATTTCATTCAAGATTCAAGATTTCAACCCTAATTCTTAGTTTTTTGGTGATGTCTTCTCTTCATTATTTTTATTGTTCTTTTATTTTACCCAAGTTAGGCTAGACTTTTTATGTACTAGGTGAACGATGAACCTCGCATTGTGATCTTTTAATTTTTATTTTGCAATTTGATATTCAAACACTTTTGATGGATCTTGAATGATTTATCTACACTTTCTTGCCTCCATGATTATAGTGCACGATAATTGTATGAGTTTGAGTGGTTTATTTTATGCATTCGAAAGAAGAAAAATAAACTCAACAAGGTATAAATCATCGTTTTATTCATAAAGGATAGAAATATACCGATATGCATTACGCGAATCTTTAAGTGTTTACAAAACTTCATGCATTCTTGTATATTACATTTGTCGTAGAAATATAGTCAAATGGTATGCTAGAATAAGTTCAATTCTATTCGAAAGAGATTGTTAGATATGTTAGAAACATTGATTCTTCAACCAATTCCTCGTGTTGTCAAATTGTGAAATAGGGGTTAGGGTTGAACTTTATTTGGGGATTCGGGATCCTAGTACGCTTTTCATACATTAATTTCATCAACTTTTGCATTCAACCATTCTTCTTGCATTTAGATCGCAATTTTAGTTTAATTCGCATATTAGTCATAATTTCGTTATAAAACCACAAAAACAATCATCTTGAGTTTAATAGATTTGGTTAAGGTCGACATAATAGAAATCACTTTAAATCAATCCTCGTGGGAACTATACTCGAAATTCTTGAATTTCCACTTTATTACCTGTGAACGATCCGTACACTTGCAGGATTTACATTCGAAACATAATTTTGTGAACAGAAAGACTTGTTTGTTTAGAAGTATAAATCAGATTAAAGTTGGGATGACCCACTTTATCACATAAAATGTTGTTTTCTAATAAAATTATTATTTCCATAACTGAGTTTCCTATTCCTGGCCAAACATGGATGACCCACTTTAGGTAATTCAGCGCATGCTTTAATTTAAATCTTTCTTTTCGTTTAGAAACCAAATACAGTTAATTACCTAAAGTGGGTCATTTACAAAACGAAATTAGCAATGTGCTAATGCATGTTACACCAATTCTGTTCCAGTAGGTCAATGTTTCTGATGAAAGGACAAGAGAAGTATAGAAAATGGCCATAAAGTGTACACTGCCCATAATAAATTATGTCAAATCAAGGGTATTTTCTACTAAAACAAATTTGGCACAAAGCATCCCTTCTTTATTTTATGCCAGTTTTAGTCCTTTTTACTCTTGGCTTTGCTTGTACTCATTCTCTTTCACCAGACTGTTGGCAGCATAAGAATTTTCATATTTATCAATCCATTCTAGTTCTTTTACTATTGGACTTCACACTCTGAGTCACACCTTATTAGCCTTAGGCGCTAACTTCCTCAATGTCATTGGCATCTCTTTCTCAAAGCATTATTAATTATAAACACCATCTCTTCACCATGTCCAACCTTAGCAACCGTCTTCAAGACAATTAGTATTGGCAGCAACGACATTGGTCCTTATCTTAGATTTTGAAAGGGCAAATTTCCTTGGTGGTTTTGTTTGAAGCAACCTTTAGTTTGACCCCAAGAACCAAGAGAGCAAGCTTTTTAACCAGATATGGCTATTTTGTTTCTTGATTCAATGAATCTAGATTCCAACTAATTCAATTCCGAACTCAAGTAGGCTTCTGGGAATGTTAAGTTTAGGGATTTCAAAATCCCTTGATTATAGTAATAGATCACAATCTATTAAATATAAGATTAGTTATCTAATAGTAAAATTTATGACAATAACTAGCTCGAAATTTTCATTTCTTTTTCTTTATGCCTATTTTAATCAAATCCAAACCAATTTAAATTCAAAACTCAAACTAATAGAAAATACTGTTAACTTCTCCAAAGATGAAGCATCTAGCACCCTCCCTCTACTGGCGATTGGAATGGAGGAGGTTATTGAATTCAGGAAGATAAAGAAGCAGTGTTGGCAACTCTAGCTCGGTCACAACAGAGCCCAGCTGGATGGACGTTGGATTCAGCTTCTAGATGAAGAAACCTCTAGAAGAAAATGCACATGCTGAAGTTTGTTTTTCAGTTATTTTGTACAGCTATTATTTGGCAACTTGTATAGAATTAGTTGGATTAGATTCTTTCCTTGCTTATAAATAGTTGAACTATTGGACAGATAAAAGTGTGAGAAAACGATTGAATACAAATTGATATTCTTCTCCAAACAATTCTGTTCATTATATGTTTTTCTAATATGGTATCAGAGACTTCAATGGCTGATTCAAATAATTCAGAAGAATCAAATGCTGCTCAAACTACATTGGGGGAAATGATAACTCTAGATCCTTGCTCGTTTCTCATGTCTTGGATTCAAACAATTATCATGCCTGGGCAAGATCCATGAAACATGCACTCAGAATTAAAAATAAACTTGATTTCATTGATGGAAGCATATCTGAGCCCGTTTCAGCAGACAGTCCCCTCATGGAGCATTGGCTTAGATGCAATGACATAGTCATCACTTGGTTACAAAACACCATGGCACCTGACATCAAATGTAGCACTCTGTATGCTGATACAGCCCATCAGTTATGGAATGAGCTTGAGCAAAGGTTTGCCCAACAGAATGCGCCAACCAAGTTACTGCTCTTATGCCTCTTAATCAGGAGCGAGTCAATGATAATCCACAGTTTTCCTTAACACAGGAGCAATATTCTCAACTGATGTCAATGCTCAAAATACAGGAGCATCCAGCTTCCACCAGTCATACTAGCATTCCCTCCACTGGTATCTTGCCAACAGTGTCTGGTATTTTCCTAGGTTTATCAGCATAGAATACTAAATGTCATAATATTTATGCTATTCCTTGGATATTAGATACAG